GGGACTCCCCAAAAACCAAGATGTGGAGCAGCTCGTTGATGTGGATCTCCTCAAAGACGGCCAGCACGGCCACCGGGTCCACGGCCGAGATGATGCTGCCGAAGAGCAGGTTGGCCAAGAGGCCGATGTGGTTCAAGCCGGGGCCGCCAAGCTGGCACACGGCGTACATGAGGCCACCCAAGAAGAAGGCGTTCCAGAGCGTCCCCACCACGGCGAAGATGAGGATGGTGCCCAGGTTCTCGGTGAATTGGCGTAAGGGGAGGAAATAGCCGGCATCCAAGATGATGGGTGGAAGGAGGAAGAGGAAGAAGATGTCCGATTTGAGGATGGGGGGTTTTTCACCCACCCCTTTGATGAGCCCCCCAACCAGAAGGCCCACCACGATGAGCAGGCAGCTCTCCGGAACGATGCTGGACACTGAAGGGATCACGTGGAAGCCTGGAGAGGAGGAGGAGAGAGGAAGACACATGCTGGCTACAGGAACAGAGGATGCTCTCTGCAGGAGGAGACCCCTGCGGGAGTCAGGGACCAGCTCCCAGCCTCCCCTGCACTCTTCAGGATCCTTTACTCTTTGTGTGCCTCAGTTTCCCCTTCTAACTCCCTTCCTCCCCACACTGTAAAGTGGAAACCGCAGCTTTTTGTGCTCTGGCGTTGCTTGATCTCAGCCCAGAAAATAACGGCGAGCCCCAGTTCACGAGGCTGCAGCCCCTCTCTGGGCACCCCAGGATCTCTGAGGGGACCCCCAGCCCCCCCGTGACAGCCATCTGCGGCACAGGCAGTTCTCCCAACACAAGCTGTCGCTGGCTCCAGCTCTTCCCATCGCAGCGCACGTAGGCGCTGGCATTTACCTCCCGTCAGACAGCACCCGGCGCACCCGGCGCTGGCGGGAGGCAGCGGCACAGCACCCGTCCCCAGGTGTCTCTGACACAGGGGACAGGGAAGGGAGCTGGCGCTCGGCGGGTTTGAGGCTGGAACGGCTCCTTATTCCCCTTCCTGCAGTTTCGGGACAAAGCCGGGAGGTTTTATAGGGCCGATCGCAGCGATGCCGCAGGGCTGCTCCAGCTGCAGCTGGAATAGAAGGTGACAAGGGGCTGCTGGAGCTGGGACGATGCTGCAGGCTGGGGAGGACGGGGGGGCTGAGGGGGTCCTGGGAAGGACATCGGTGTCCTGCATGGGGAGGGGGCTGAGGTTCAGCTGGGTGACCCCAAGCCCTGCGGGTCCTCTGCTTGCCCCAGGCTCCTCGCAGCACAGCTGGGAGGGTGCGTGCGTGTGTCCTCTGCATCCCGCTGCTGCTTCTTGCTCGTCCCTGTAGCCTGGGGTCAATTCCCTGCCTCCCCTTCCCCATTTATCCTGCCTGCTCCAATGGAGATGGTCCCTGTGCTCTGATTCCAGATGAACAACTACCTGACGGTGCCGGCTCACAAGCTGGATTCACCCACCATGTCCCGGGCTCGCATCGGCTCAGGTAGGTGGGACCGAGCTGCTGGGGGAGCGCCGCTGCCGGCACCTCGCTGGGCATCACCGGCGCTTTGGTGCTGAAACACGCAGAGGTTGTGTTGTCCTGTGGTTCTCCAGCCCCAATTGTCCCCATCCTGCTCCCTGTCCTGTGG